TGTCTTTATTCACCCAGGAGGAGCACGGCGCAGAGCGGAATCGTCGGCCGGGCACCGCAGCTCACAGCGAACACCAGGGGGATGCACCGCAAAACCATGAGCCACACCGCATATATTCACATGATATATTTCGACCACAGATAGCAAAAAAATTTACAAGACAGCAATAACAAAACAAAAACCCCCCCCAAAGCAAGAAGAGCATGAGTTTCAGAGGATGACACTCCTCTTTGTATCATTACCCACGCGGCAAATAACTTCAATTCTTCTTCCTTAACACATCCTTTCAAGAAACTCACCTACGACAAATAGCCTGAAACGAACACCAAAAATCTTCACACATTCACACCCACACAGATACACCTCTTCCAGAGTTCAGATGGATGCGAGAGGAGACACATCTGTAAGGCGCCTGCAGTTTAGGGCATAATCTTCACAAGACTGCGACTCGCACTGAGACCCTGCAACTCCCTGTCCGTAATAGCAGTGCATCCCAAGTCAAGCACACGCAGGACAGGCAGCCTGACAAGGGCACCAAAACTCCTCACACTTTCACATCCAGACTTNAGAAACTCACCTACGCTAAGTAGCCTGACACGAACACCAACAGTCCTCACACCTTCACAATCAGAAAGAACCAACTCTTCCAGAGTCTTGATGGATGCGAGAGGAGAAACATCTGTAAGGTGCCTGCAGTTACTGAGTACAATCTCCCGAAGCCTGCGACTCCTATAGAGACGGTGCAACTCCTCGTCTGTGATAGCAGTGAACCTCAAGTCAAGCTCACGCAGGACAGGCAGCCTGCCAAGGGCACCAACAATCTTCACATTTCTGCACTCAGAGAGATCCACCTCTTCCAGTGTCTCGATGGATGCGAGAGGAGACACATCTGTAAGATCATTGCATTCTTGGAGTACAATCTTCACAAGACTGCGGCTCGCACTGAGACCCTGCAACTCCCAATTTGTAATAGAAGTGCACCTGAAGAAAAGCTCACGCAGGACAGGCAGCCTTCCGAGGGCACCAACAATCTTCACATTTCTGCACTCAGAGAGATCCACCTCTTCCAGTGTCTCGATGGATGCGAGAGGAGACACATCTGTNAAGACAGCAATAACAAAACAAAAACCCCTTCAAAGCAAGAAGAGCATGAGTTTCAGAGGATGACACTCCTCTTTGTATCATTACCCACGCGGCAAATAACTTCAATTCTTCTTCCTTAACACACCCTTTCAAGAAACTCACCTACGCTAAGTAGCCTGACACGAACACCAACAGTCCTCACACCTTCACAATCAGAAAGAACCAACTCTTCCAGTGTCTCGATGGATGCGAGAGGAGACACATCTGTTAGGTCATTGCATTCTTGGAGTACAATCTTCACAAGACTGCGACTCGCACTGAGACCCTGCAACTCCCAATTTGTAATAGAAGTGCACCTGAAGAAAAGGATACGCAGGGCAGGCAGCCTGCCAAGAGCACCGACAGTCCTTGCTCCTTTATACCCAGACAGATATACCTCTTCCAGTGTCTCGATGGAAGCGAGACAAGAAACCTCTGTAAGGTGCTTGCTAGTTTGGCGTACAAACTTCACAAGACTGCGACTCGCGCTGAGACCCTGCAACTCCCCGTCAGTAATAGCAGTGCATCCCAAGAAAAGCTCACGCAGGGCAGGCAGCCTGCCAAGAGCACCAACAGTCCCCACACCTTCACATCCAGACAGATCCACCTCTTCCAGTGTCTTGATGGATGCGAGAGGAGAAACCTCTGTAAGGTGCTTGCAGGTTTGGAGTACAATCTTCACAAGACTGCGACTCGCGCTGAGACCCTGCAACTCCCCGTCAGTAATAGCAGTGCATCCCAAGAAAAGCTCACGCAGGGCAGGCAGCCTGCCAAGAGCACCAACAGTCCCCACACCTTCACATCCAGACAGATCCACCTCTTCCAGCGTCTTGATGGATGCGAGAGGNCCCAAATCAAGCTCACGCAGGACAGGCAGCCTGCCAAGGTCGCCAACAGTCCTCACACCTTCACATCCAGACAGATCCACCTCTTCCAGCGTCTTGATGGATGCGAGAGGAGAAACATCTGTAAGGTGCTTGCAGTTACAGAGGACAATCTTCATAAGACTGTGACTCGCACTGAGACCCTGCAACTCCTCGTCTGTGATAGCAGTGCATCCCAAGTCAAGCTCACGCAGGGCAGGCAGCCTGCCAAGAGCACCAACAGTCCTCAAACCTTCACATCCAGACAGATCCACCTCTTCCAGCGTCTTGATGGATGCGAGAGGGGACACCTCTGTAAGGTGCCTGCAGACTGGAAGTACAATCTTCATAAGACTCTGACTCGCACTGAGACCCTGCAACTCCTCGTCTGTGATAGCAGTGCATCCCAAGTCAAGCTCACGCAGGGCAGGCAGCCTGCCAAGAGCACCAACAGTCCTCAAACCTTCACATCCAGACAGATCCACCTCTTCCAGCGTCTTAATGGATGCGAGAGAAGACACATCGGTAAGGTGCCTGCAGTCTGGAAGTACAATACTCACAAGACTGCGACTCGCACTGAGACCCTGCAACTCCTCGTCTGTAATAGCAGTGCATCTCAAGACAAGCTCACGCAGGACAGGCAGCCTGCCAAGGTCATCAACAATTTCCACACCTTCACAGACAGACAGATCCACTTCTTCGAGCGTCTCTATGGATGCGAGAGGGGACACATCTGTAAGGTGCTTGCAGGTTTGAAGTACAATCTTCACAAGACTGCGACTCGCACTGAGGCACCGCAACTCCTCGTCTGTGAAAGCAGCGCATCCCACGTCAAGCACACGCAGGATAGGCAGCCTGCCAAGGGCACCCAAACTCCTCACTTCTTCACATCCAGACAGATCCACCTCTTCCAGTGTCTTGATGGATGCGAGAGGAGANACATCTGTAAGGTGCTTGCAGGTTCGGAGTACAATCTTCACAAGGCTGCGACTCGCACTGAGACCCTGCAACTCCTCGTCTGTGATAGCAGTGCATCCCAAATCAAGCTCACGCAGGACAGGCAGACTGCCAAGGGCACCAACAGTCCCCACACCTTCACATCCAGACAGATCCACCTCTTCCAGTGTCTTGATGGATGCGAGAGGAGAAACATCTGTAAGGTGCTTGCAGTCTGCCAGAAAAATCCTCACAAGACTGCGGCTCACACTGAGACCCTGCAACTCCCCGTCAGTAATAGAACCGCATCCCAAGACAAGCTCACGCAGGATAGGCAGCCTGCCAAGCGCACCAACAGTCCTCACACCTTCACATCCAGACAGATCCACCTCTTCCAGCGTCTTGATGGATGCGAGAGGAGACACATCTGTAAGGTGCTTGCAGTTACAGAGGACAATCTTCATAAGCCTGTGACTCGCACTGAGACCCTGCAACTCCTCGTCTGTGATAGCAGTGCATCCCAAGTCAAGCTCACGCAGGGCAGGCAGCCTGCCAAGAGCACCAACAGTCCTCACACCTTCACACCCAGACAGAATCAACCCCTCTAGCGTCTTGATGGATGCGAGAGGAGACACATCTGTAAGGTGCCTGCAGTCTGGAAGTACAATCTTCACAAGACTGCGGCTCGCACTGAGACCCTGCAACTCACTGTCTGTGATAGCAGTGCATCTCAAGTCAAGCTCACGCAGGACAGGCAACCTGCCAAGGGCATCAACAGTCCTCACACCTTCACACCCAGACAGATCCACCTCTTCCAGTGTCTCAATGGATGCGAGAGGAGACACATCTGTAAGGTGCCTGCAGTGTTGGAGTGCAATCCTCACAAGGCTGCAACTTGCATTAAGACCCTGCAAACACCCGTCTGTAATAGCAGTGCATCCCAAATCAAGCTCACGCAGGGCAGGCAGCCTGCCAAGGGAACCAACAATTTTTAGACCTTCACACCCAGACAGATCCACCTCTTCCAGTGCCTCGGTGGATGCGAGAGGAGACACATCTGTAAGGTGCTTGCAGGTTTGGCGTACAATCTTCATAAGACTGCGACTCGCACTGAGACCCCGCAACTCTCCGTCTGTAATAGCAGTGCATCCCAAATCAAGCTCACGCAGGACAGGCAGCCTGCCAAGGGAACCAACAATTTTTAGACCTTCACACCGAGAAAGATTCACCTCTTCCAGCGTCTCGATGGATGCGAGAGGAGACACATCTGTAAGGTGTTTGCAGGTTTGGAGTACAATCTTCACAAGACTGTGACTCTTACTGAGG